GAGATATATCTAGGTAGTCACTTTCTGGCTATTTGGTGTAGAGTATCTCTATCGGATAAGTTCTTCCAAGAATTGTAAAGATATTGCAGTTGAAGGAATAACTTGAAAACTTCTCTGCATCTAATGTGACAGATGTGACAATCAATCGAAGGTCAAGTCTACTCTTTACAAGCTGCTTCAACAAACCAAAAAGGACGTCAATGTGGATTGTCCTCTCATGAGCTTCATCAAGCATTATAACTGAATACTGAGATAAATTCTCATCAATCAAAATCTCTCTCAGAAGCATACTATCTGTCATATACTTGATTATTGTATTCGGTCCGGTCCAGTACAAATGACGACGATGAACTCCGATGATGGAGGTAGAGTTCGTCGGAGAGAGAAGAGCAAAGAGAAAAGAAGAGAGGGAGAGGCAGTTTGATTTAAGGGAATCAAATTTCTCTGTGATATATAGGTGTTGGGGATTAAGGGACCTTAGACATCATAAAATAATATTGTGGATCTCTTCTATTATTAAAAATGAGAGAGGGACCTTAGACTAATTTTCCCTAATTTCTTTTGTCTCTATTTCTTGGAGCATTTTAATGGGAGAAATCTTTTGCAAATTACATATAAGGACAAAACCAATGGAGTGGTTGGGACAAACCCTAAATTTTTTGAAAATTCCTTAATTTCTAAAATATAGTTCTAGAAATGAAAAAAGAAACACAAGGTAGAAAAATTAATTCAATCTCAATTGAGAGCTTTGTTAATTTTGAAAGAATTTAAGCTAATGTATCTTTGTTTCCATATGTCTATAAATATATGTATATATATATATATATATATTATAGATTTATGTTTGTAAAATTTCTGTAGATTATGGATTTATGTTGATTAATAATCAGGCTTTATAGTTCTAGAAATAAAATAAAAAAGAAACAAAAGGTCGAAAAAATAATTCAACCTCAATTGAGAGCTTTTTTAATTTTTTGGGTGGCAAAATTCCTTTTTAGAAATTTGCTTGGCGCCTCGTAAAACTCAAAGACAAAATCTTAAAAAATAATTAATTAATTAATAAAGAATAATGTTATATGTATCAATTAATGTACTAATTAACATACTAACAGATGATGTGACATAATTTTAGAGATTTTAGGTATTTGTAATTTGTATAATAGATGGGGTCAGTAATAATGACATAATACTAGTTGGTACACTAGTGTGTACATTAATTGATACATATAACACCACAGATTAATAAAAACAGTATTCATACTCCGTTTTTAATCTCACCATCCCCTTGTTGAAACAATTGAATTTTTTTTACAAACGATATACATAAAGAATCTTATAAAATGAATGATACAGATAATTAAAACGAAACTGGTGGTTAAAGGCAAATCTAAGAATGTGGCGATGGGAGAGGAGAAGGGGGCAAAAGGATAGGAATAGAACAGATCGCACTAAATAAAAAATTTAGTCGAGTCAAATTGCATTAGTTTTGAATTACTTAAAGATTAATAACATACTACTTAAAACTCATTAATTTATTCTATGTTTTTGTGCCTATTTAAATTGATAATGTGTAAATTTATTAAGATATATTAAATAAATAATACTATAATGAACATATGTATGTGCTATATTTTGAGAGTTGGGGGGTCTTCCTGTGTCATGGGGCCCAATAAGGGGTGCTATCCCTTTTGTTAGGGTTTAAACCAGACTCACTTTTATAATTTGAACCATTTATTTTACAATACTCTATTAAATAAATAATTCAATTCAATCAAGTAGTTAAATATCAATAATACATAATCGGATTACATTTGTCTTCTAAAAAGGTTAACATCCAATGTAATTTTAAAAAACAAAACATCCACTTGTTTAAGATAAATATGAATAAATCATGCCACTAATGTTTACAATGGCTCAAATAGGAAAATAAAAGCCAAATTTAAAGTCAAAAAAAATCATGAGAAATTCTAATATACAAATCCTTGAAAAGAGTGTGCCATACGGACTTCTAATTATGTCATTTGTTTTTAGTTATAATGTTATTTTAATTATGACTTATAAATTCTTTAGCTATATCTCATGTTATGTTTAATTATAATATATATATATATATAATACTTAACATTGCTTTACCAGCACACTATTATGTAAGCCACCAATCTTGGTCCTGTTTGGTGTAACTGTTAAAACAGATTATAGATTATGACTTTAATCAGAAACTGTTAATTTGTTTAGCATAGTTGTTATATTATAGATTTAAATTGTTAAGTAGTGTTTGTTAAATAAGCTGTGAAGTAACTTTTTCAATTAACTTTTATTTTTTATTATTCACTATTTGTCTACATTTCTCACAAAAAATAATAATAATATTTTATAGTCTATTTGGGTCTCTTTTTATTTTTTAAAAAAATAAAAATAAAAATAAAAAATCTAAGAGTATAACTGTAAATTAACATGTCCACAGCAGAAATTGATAATCAGAAGTAATGGGTGAGCAGCTTCTCACAATCAACTTTTTTGATTTAAAATAAGTTGTTAGAATCAGAAGTTGTTTGAAAAAAATTTAACCAAACAGTTTAAAATAACTTTTTAAAATCCAGAAACCATAAATTGACTCAAAAAAGTCCTACCAAACACCCCCTTGTTCTCGACTTTTCTATCTATGTGGGATTGATATGTTCAGTAGCAGCACCAAATTACATACATGCATAAGTTACTACATTTTGCAGGGCGCAACACTCGTGTGTGGTAAGTTTCATGGGTTCTTTACTTTCATCTAGATCATGGGCTAGAGGCATGTCCAACTCCTAAAATAATATATAAATTACACTCTATAAACTTATCTTTTTTTTCTTTTTTTCTTTTCTTTCCTGTTTTTCGAAGAACTAGAAAATAATAAGAGAATGCAACATGTTGAAGAATAAAATAAAGGACAAAATATCAATAGGTCATAATAGTTAGATTTAATTTTTATTAAGTCCTATTGAAAATTAGTCCTAGTAAAATTGCCGTTAAAAATAATTTTTTGTGATAATATTTTGCATGCCACTAAAAATTGACAATTAGCAATTTTTTTGTCACAATTTTTATAAATTGTCACTAAAACTTACAATTAGTGAATTTTTCTATGACTAATTTTTCAAATTGTCGTTAAAATTTGAAAATTAATAATTTTTTTATGACGATTTTTTAAAATTGTCGCTAAAACATACAACTAGTGATTTTTTTGGTAACAATTTTCAGACTGTCGTTGACATTAATGATTGGTGACATTTTTTTTAATAATGTTTGATGAAAAATGTTGTTAATTATTACAAGACTTGTTGAATAATAAATCTACCTATTAAGACTTACATGTAAGTCTCCCTAAAATAGAGGGCAACACATGCAGATGGATTTAGTCATATGTAAATGTGGGAGGGCAAATTGAGCTATAAGGCAGGACTAGAAATCTAGATCCAGAATATTAGAAGCTCAGGGCCAGAGATCCCTGGGTCTAGATGATCAAGACCAGGGCATAAAAGATGCACGCCCACAAGGGTCAAACTTGGTTAAATATGTATTCCTAAAATACCAGCTCAACTAACTTCGAGATAAACCAGTTTGGTGCGCAATTGTGAGCGTCAGGCTAAGTTTGGGAAGACTAAATAAGTGTACTTTTTGACTTTTTATGAAATATGGGTTGGATTTGGGTTGGGTTTGAAGTGATGTGTTAGAGAGGTGATGTGACTTAAATGAAATGATGTGACTTAAATAGGATAGTGACTTTTTGAATTTTTAAATTTTTTGAAAGATGCCAAACTTAAGGCATGCATCTCACACCGATTTCCTTTGATCAACAATGAGTCGCCACTTAATTTTTAAAAGAGAATTAAGAAACTTTTAATGATAAAAACTAAGCTAAGGTCCAATCCATCATAACTAGAAAACACTACTACAAAAACAGTTAAAGACCACACTTTAACAAATGAAATATCTCACTTTTATTGGAAGTGTGATAAAAAAAATTAGATTGATATTTTAATCACACTAAATTTTATTAAGTGTGATAATATTTATTTTTTGTCACTTTTTAATGAAATGTGATTATATATATATATATATATTTTTTAATCTAACCTTCTATTTAGTATTTATTTATATATTTTTTAATCACAACTTTTAAATAAGTGTGATCAATATATGTTCTTTCAGGGTTCGTTTGGCAAGAAGATTGAGACTTTTTTGGCTATTTTAGCCACAAAAGACAAAATAGGCTATTTTAGCCACAAAAACAAAAACATCACATCCAACCCATAATCATTACACTCTTCTCTCACAAAAAAAGTCAAAAAAGCCAAAAAGCCAAAAAGCTCTTCCCAAACCAAACTTTTTAGCCCAGGCTAAAATAGCCAAAAAAGCCAAAAAGCCAACCCACTTCCCAAACGGAGGCTCAAACTGTCCCAAAGCTTAAATTCCTAAATTCATTTTGGTGCTATTTGGAGTTGGGTTTTTGGTTTTTTTTTTTGTTTTTTGTTTTTTTTCACTAAAAGACAAATTGATTACAAAACCAAAAAAAAAAAAACAAATCCAAACAAAATATCACATCAAACCCCATAATCATTTCATTTTTTCTCTCACAAACATCACATCCAACCACAAAAAAAACCTAACTATCTTTCCAAACACAAAAAAAGAATTTCTCTAATAATATCCTACAACTGAAAAGTGGGTGTTTGGGAAGTGGGTTTTTTTGTAGGTTTTTTTAATTGTAAGATATTATTGAAGAAAAAAAAAATTGTGTTTGGGAAGATAGTTGGATTTTTTTGCAGTTGGATGTGATGTTTGTGAGAGAAAAATTGAAATGATTATGGAGTTTGATGTGATATTTTGTTTGAATTTTTTTTTTTTGTAACTAATTTGTCTTTTAGTGAAAAAAAAAAAGAAAAAAAAAAAACCTAAAAACTAACTCCCCAAACACCCCCAAAACCTACAAACAAACAAACAAACAAACAAACAAAAACCACTTCCCAAACACCCACTTTGACGTCCAGTCCATGCCCAGCCCTAGTTCCTCTCTCTCTCTCTCTCTCTCTCTCTCTCTCTCTCATCTAAGATCCAGATCGTGAGGTAGATCAAAATCCAAACCCCATCGCCAGTCGCCACTCCTTCGTCGGAGCTGTGTGTGAAGTTTTTGGAGACTTCGTCGGAGCATCAGTGGTGGGAACCATGGAAACTACGTTACATGTTCATCGTCAAATTTGATTTCATCAAGCTTTGTAAAACCATTGCCACTCACTAGTGAGTAATTCATTCACAAACTATTCTTACAATCCTTTACTCTTTTTTTATTTGTTTTTCCTGATTCCATTATAATAGTTGCTCTGTTTCTCTTTTGATTTTGATCCTTTTGTATTAACATGGAAAAATTAGGGATTTTTTCCCCCTTAATTAATGTGATTATTGTGATTTTAAATTACACAATAAGAGGGAAGATGGTTTTTTGGCAAGTTACTTGATTTCCTTTTGTTCTAAACCTGCAACAATACTAAAATCTTTGAGGTGTGCTTTAGGTTTGGATTTCCTTTCATTGATCCATTTTTGTACTTGTTGCTTTTTCTGTAATTTAATTAATTTTGACCTCGTTTTGATTAAGGCAGCCACTACGTGGTACACCTATTGGTTATGTTACTCCTTGATCTAGCTTTACAATTTCAAGTCACCAAATAGTCTTTGAACTGTTTGTTAAAATGTCTGGCCCAGAAATGTTTATTTTGAAATGATAAAGGATTAAATATGTTATATGTGATCAAGTCACATATTGGTTATGTTACTCTTGGTTTATTTTCCAACTCTAATGTTTAGGACAAATGATTTGGTGATTACACTTGGCTTTGTGACAAATCTTTGTTTTGTCACTTGGGTTTTGTTAGAAATGTATTTTTTACAACGTATTCTATTGGATTAGTTTGGTCATGAATTATTGTTGCTGCCACTTTTTTCTTCCCATGACTTTCTCAAAACAACTAATTTATCATTGGTTTGTTGAGTTTCTATCCTCGTTTTTATAATTGCTTTTGTGGGTATATCGGAGGCACTATAGGTTGAAGTCAATGGAAACTACTGCTGAATGCACTCTGCCACCATTGGTTTGCTTCGTCAAGGGTAAGCTTGTGCACAATTGACCCAGGAGTTCTTTAGAGAGAACACACTGCGTCTATTAATTTTGTCTTCCAAAATTGAGTTGATTTTCTTATTGAGTGCTATAAATGGACTTCGTCTACTCAATTTAACTGTCAGACTTAGTGATTCATGTCTCTCTCTTTTCTATACCGCAACAATATTTATCACAGCAATATTTCTCTTTATTTTGATCCAATACTCATCTTATTTATCATATCAATGTTCAACTTTTGCAAGCCCATAAAGATGGCACTCAAGTTGTTGCAAATTTACAAAGACAAGTAGTTCAGTCACGGCTGATTCCTTGATTACTTGGAGGCAAACATATATCTAATGGATGTTTTGGTATCAGGGTAAACTATTACAAAGAGGAGATTGTGATAAGTTGTGATTACCATTATATATTAATTAATTTGCTGCTTAACTCACTACAACAAAAAATAGTTTTGGCAACACAACAAAGTTCATCGCCAAAAGGCAGAAATCGTTGGCGAAGAGCTTTCACGACCCATAGAGCTTCATCAGTAACCCGTTGCCAAAAGTGTGTCGGGAAAAGTTTTTATTGACGAAAAATTCATTGCATCGCCAAAAGTATGTCTTTAGCGGCAAACATCTTTGTGGGCAAAAGCCTTCAACTATCGTCGCCAATTTACCATTGCGTCGGTAAACGTGGTTCAAATAAGATGATTATGTGTCATTTTTGCCGACTCAAATTTGCATCGGTAAAAATGATACTTTTGGCAACAACTTGATTGCGTCGGCAAAACATTTAATCGTTTTATATAAAAAAATTAATTTGGTATTTGGGATAGCAAAAATTACTATCACTAATAAAAAATTACTTTCCAATAAAAAATTATTAAATAATATCCACACTTTAATACATTGACATCCAAATATATATATATAAATTCTATTTGTCCTGTTCTTACAATCCAAACTTTAAGTTTATGTACAACAATACCTAAAGTTAAACCAAGTTAAAAATAAATAAAATCAAGTCAATTCCAATTGGAACGATGTGTTTAATACAACTATAGCATCACCAATGACAATATGCAAATGCATGTGAACAAACCTCTTCTCATTTCCAATTAGCACTCAAGCAAGGTCATAATCCATCTTCAACAACCTACATTCGAGAAAGAAAAAGAATCTTTTTTTATTGTTAATATTGTCATAAATGAAAATTTAAACTTGCAAATTTAGAGAATTGAGATTTAAGGGAAATGCATGAAGAAATCTCAATAGAATTGAGTTAAAGCATTGACAAAAAAGAAAAAAATCCCAAGCGGCAACAGTAACATGGGGGGAAAAAGAATTTTAAATAATTTCTTAGAATAACAAGAGAAAAATAAACAATAAATTAGTTGTACCTGGCACAATAGTTCACCACCAAATATTGCTAAATCAATCTACAAAATAAAGTTCAATTATTTTGATAAGTAAAAATAAGATAATTCAAATTAAATAACATAAAAAGAAACCAGTTTGTAACATCTGAGATGAATACACAGTCATGTATATGTGTGTGTGACTATTAGAGGTTTGAGAAATTCTATATAAATGCAAAAAAATAAAAAATAAATAAAAATACAAACAAGGTGAAAAGGAAAATGTAAGAGCTCGCAGATTTATTTATTTATTAATGCTTTGGGCTATATGAACTCTAACAAGCATTCATGGTAAAACATGACTGTGCTGAAGTCCACTCTGTTAAAATGAATCAAGACAATGATATGTGTGTGTGTGTGTGTGTGTGTCACTGCAATATTTTCAACCAGAACATGCAAGAATTAGCAGCAGCTAGAACCTCCGTGTTGTATCCAAAGTGGCAACAGAACAAAAAAGCCAATGGCATGAAAAATTAAGATAATTACAAAGTCAACCTTTAATAACCCACAAGAGCATAAAACTTAGTGCAGATTCCATTAAAGAGGAACAAAAAAGGGAGGACTGACATTAAATGGGAAAACAATGAGACTTTACTCACTCCAAGTAATATAACAATTTGATCTCCAACAGAGAGACTATTACAAGGAACTTCAACAGTTGAGCTCAACTCTTCCGCATCACCCCCCTTAGGCCTAGGTGACCATTGATCAAGCAAGTGTTACTAAGTTCACCATTTCATTGACTTCCCACACAAACCCCAGAAACACACCGAATTCTGCGAATATCTATGAATCTTATTTCAAATTCATTTTAAAATCCACCACATTATTTGGATAAATCAGTGATGCACCAGTGTATTTTTTAAGATTCAATTGAGAGAATAAAAAAAGGAAACATAAGATAGAACCAAAAAAACTACTTTCAAGAGAACAAGAAAGGTACCAATGCGACCGATTTTCATTTCTAAACGAGCAAGGGCTCTAAGTGCAGACTGAGCACCTAGACCAGGTGTTTTTGTCTTGTTTCCACCAGTGGCACGGAGCTTAATATGAAGGGCATTGATGCCAAGTTCCTGTTCCATAAGAAAAGTCAATGTCCCTAAAGAAAAGTAGCAGCATAAATTAAAATAAATCCAAAATACAACAAAGAATTGTCCAAACAACCAAACAAAACATTGAAGTTTAAAAACTTCATTTATAAATTTCATTAACAAAAGAATCATAAAAGTGAGTGATATAATTAAAAACAGTCAGGCCACAAAATAGGTTAAACATATCCAAGAATCTATTGAAGAAGATGAAGAATTGTGGGGTTGTTAAGCGAAGATTGGTTGGAGATGGAGGGGATTGAGGCCATTGTTGGGTTTCAAATCAGAGCAACCAACTTTATCATCAAACTTTATATCTATCTGCCCACTGTTTCGATTATTTTTTTGTATAAAGAGAGTTTTTAAGGTATGATATAGCAACAATCAAAGTGGCGCAGCGGAAGCGTTTAACCAATAATGTTAAACTCTTTTGTTCTAAACTTCAGAACAGAGTTCATTCCAACTAAAAAAAAGAAAAAAAGACCTTTTTTAAAAAATTCAACAAAGTCAAGCCTCTGCACAATCATGAAAACAGAGCAGCAGTTTGTATCACATCCTTAAACTGTAACAAATACCATGAAAAATAGGACTATCAACTTCCACCACATGAAATGCCTCTAGGAATTAAAAAGATTTATAATAGAATTCCAGAACATTATTCATCATTCTTAAAAACAAAAAATTGATACTTTGAAACAACAGAATTCAAGTTAATTGAAAAGGACATGGTAGTCTTGAAATCAATCAAGTGTTGATTAATTTGGGAGGAAAGGTGAGGGCTGACAATGGGTTTTTTTTTTCATAAATAAAAATGATGACCCATCTATTCTATTTTATTATATAAAGCATACAGTCTAATTTGTTTGTAATTGTTTTGTATATGTTAGCAGAGAGATTTTCGGGTAATCCATAGAGGCAGATCAGAAGGCATAGAGGCAAAGTCCCCAAATTTGTATCATGTAAAACACAAATAGGAATCATAAATCAAATTTATTTTCTAAAAGCATTACAAGAACCAATCAAACAACCTAATAAGCAGTTCCAATATCGAAAAAAATATAAAAAATAAAATCAAATTGTTCATCTGTTGGAAGTCAAATGAATATATCCTTATTTCTAATATTAAACACATATAAGGAAACTGAATCTCTTCAGTTTTCTTATTTTCATCTTCTTGGGTCCCAAACCCTAAAATCCTCATTCTTGTAGGAAAAATGAAGGCGATTATATAAACATATATACATATATATATATATATATATAAATATATTAGAAATTTATTTCTCAAAACTTGTAAACCAAACAAGTTTTCCAAACAAATCTCTCTCTCACACACATCAAATCAATCACTTTTTCCAAAACTCTCTCTCAAAATAATTTTCCAAAACATCTTTTGAAAAAAACCAAACCAAACAACTTTTCGTACTTTTTATCTCTAAAACACATCTCTCAAACACAAACCAAACATACCCTTGAGAGTTGGTGGTTTCAGAGATAGTAAACTAAGAAAACTGAATTAGGACTAATGAATCAGAAAGATAGGCAATGAGATTTGGAAAGGAATATATATATATATATATATATATAATGTATATATATAATGATACTTAATTGAAAGATAATATAAAAAATAAATATAATTACATATTAATTAGAAGGTGTGATCAAAAAATATATATAATCACATTTAATTGAAAAGTAACATAAAAAAATAAATATTATCACACTTAATCAAATTTAGTGTGATTAAAAATATCAATTTAATTTTTTTATCACACTTTTAATAAAAGTGAGATATTTTTATTTATCAAAGTGTAATTTTTAACTGTTTTTGTAATAGTGTAGAACTTTTCACCGCCTCAATTTTTAGAGGCAAATCACCATATATTTCTTTTTTTTGGAAAAAATTAAAACTAATTTGAGAAGTATAAAAATCAAAAATATACTTTTAAAATTTTAAAAATTATTTGTGACCTCTTAAAAGATAAAATTATACAAAAATAATAAGTATTTTTTTATTTTTTCACCAATTTTTTTTTTTGTCTTTTAGAAAAAAATTCTGAAGCAAGTTTCTAAAAATAAAACGAAATATATTAAAATTGATATTCTAACCACATTCTTCGGAAAAGTTTAAATTATCTCAAATTAGTCATCTTAACTTAAGAGTGTGTTTGGACTTGATGGTTTCATTTTGTGATCTAATTCGATAATCACTTTAATTTTACAATTCAATAACTATAATATTTAAAACTCTTTGAAAAGTTATAATAAAAACATAAATCACTAAATCACTTCATTTCAACAAAACTTTTACCAACAAATAGTGCCATTGCATAGTGTGAGGCTAAGTGGGACGTCACCCAAGTCGCGTAGCTCCAGTGTCCGTCAAGCGGTTAGCGGTAAGGACCTTGTGGTAGCATAAGTCGTTGACAGACGTGCTCAGTCTACCCCTGTGTAAGCACATCTTATTGGTATCAGAGCCATGTTTAACATTTTAAATAGTTTGTTTTATTCATTATTAATTAGTCATATATAGTCACATACATCGAAATGAGTACTGTTCCTACAGAGGAGAATACAGTCGCCCCTACAGTAGCTGATACAGAAGCCTCTACCTCAGAAGCTAGAGAGCTTGTAGCATACCAGGAAGTCAAAGAAGCTCTTGACAAATGGACAATCCCGAAAGTAGATCCAAAGGCCATTTACAAGATTGGAACTTTGAATTTTTTCAGTAAAAAGATTATTAAAACATTTGAACATGCAGCTCCAGTTAATAATAATGATACACTGATGTATTTACTCAGTGTCCAGGATCTTATACCCTTTTTCAAAGAAAATAAATATATTCATATAGGACTTGTCCAGATAGCTTTGAAACCTTTGACACCTCTTGGTCAAAATACCAGCATGTAGTGTACTCTACGAGATGGTAGGTGTACTAATTGGCGAGCATCACTCATGGGTGCTATGGAAACCAATTTAGCCCATGGTCCAGTCTATTTTGATATATATCCTAATTTTAGTGTTGCTCTTTCTGACCAAAACTTATCAAAAGTTTTAGAATTCAGAATTCTTACTCATGGTTATGAGTATCTTCCCGGATCTCCACCTTTTTCTGTAATTTCCAGAATTTATTTAAAAGTATTATCTACTTTGAATCCTTATGTAAGGAAGAAAAGTATTGATGGACAAACTGTGTTAATTGATACTAATCTTTACAGTACCCAGGTTGCAGTCCCAAAAATAATTGAATGGGAAAAAATTTCTTTTCCAAAAAGATGGAAAATAACAAATGCTGTTCCAACCAGACCAATTGTCAGACACAATCTGGATGACATAATTCAGACCCATCAAGGTAATGTTTACCTTCAATTCCAGAGACCTCCAGTTCAACTTACCAGAAGTATGTCCTCTGCTAGTTTTAGGACTGCCCCTTCTCACCAACCTTATAAAGTTGATTATCCAGAATCATCAAGACAATCTTATTCTGAACCTCCAGATGCCATATTCCAGGGTCAACCCTCTAGATCCTACTCTCGACCTAATTCAGATGAACCACAGGAGTCTGATCAGGATCCTATAGTTCGAGGAGTCCAGTATTCTAATCAACAGATACCTCATGGAGTTTATGATCCACCAATACCTCCAAATATTTACCCTAATCCTAGAGGATCCAGCAAGGGCCAGTATAGCCCTACAGCCAGTGATATGGATTTCCGAATTTAGATGGATTTTACACCAAGAAGTGAAAGCCGCAAGATTCTCAATCAGAATCTTTTACAGGATAAGTATACAGAATTTAGAAAATGGTATTTTACTGTTCACAGTAAAAAACAGTTACAGGAGTATAGAATTCAGTATTATTCTTACCTTGAGGAAATTCAAGTTTTATTTCCTTTCCCTCTATGGTACGTCCAAAATGTTTTCCCTCTAGACTCTCAACTAAATGTTTTAGAAGGAATCCAACAAAAATGGGTTACCACCGATGGAAGAGAAATTTGTACTATCCATCCTCCTACTCAAACTTTAGAACTCCAACCAACAGCACCAAATACTAAACCTATGACAATTGCAGCCTATACAGACATGCCACATAGGAGTCAATACAAAGATCCAGTTCATATTCAAGACATAATTCCTGTATTTAAACAAAACAATTATACAAATCTTTTCTGTCAAACAGCAGGAAAGCAGCTTACACGGATTGAAGAAATGGTATCCCATGTTAAGAAAAGCAGCAAAGTAGAACCAAAACCCCCTGCTCCTATTGAACCAGTCTTGATTAAACCTACTCCAGTCCTTAAAGATTTTAAATTAAAATCTAAAGAAGAAGCTGAATTTATGGATACTCTTCTTTCCCGCATTAAAAACTTACATATAAGTGAACCACCTCCGACAAGTACGTCCCAGATCAATGTACTTTCCAGTGATCCTCCTCCTTCCGAATCTTTTGATACATTGTCTCCTCAAGAGATTCTTGAGATCCAGCAAAATTTCCAACCTACAGAGCAACTCTCTTCAGTTAACAGGGTTACTTATGGACAGAGTACCTCCAAATTATCCTTATCTGCTCCTCACCGCTATTATTATCCTAGGCCTACTCCTATGGATCTTCTGTATGAAGAAGACTTTTTCCAGACCCAACACTCTTACCATAGTAATACCATTTATGAATGGAATATTAATGGTCTTTCTGAGTACCAGATTTATGAGCTTCTCCACCAGATGCTCATGTTTGCCACTGTTTGCAAACAGAATAACAATTCTGATCATCAAGTTGCCCGCTATATTGTTAGTGGTTTTACCGGTGTCCTGAAAGGATGGTGGGATAATATTCTCACTGTCAACC